ATAAATCTAGTAGGTCGTTATGGCAGAAATACGTACAGCGAGATGCGGCTCAGAGTCGAATGGCCTAGGCTTGACGACTAGTGATCAAACAGGCAGAACAGTTGAAACCAAACTGCATTTTATCTCCTCTCCTCCGTACTAAGCTTGAGAACGGGGCCCTGTGCCTGTGCGGCAGGTTTTATGAGACGCTGCCGGCTTCAATCGTCATCTTGGGGGCGACTGGGCAGGGAGGTGTCGCAATTCGTCTCAGTGACTGAGCGCTTCGCCGTGCTATGCTAAGAATAGGCTTGAGCTTCTTGAGTAACGGTGTATGTATAGGGCAGGACTATTTAGGCATGTATGACCTGAGTAATTCGCAGGCGTTGGCATTGTACGCATAGAGTATGTAATGAGGTGAGGCCTCCGCTGTGTCATCCCTGTCAAAAGCTGGCGGCATAGATATGGGGTAGTACTCCGTACTCCGTAATAGTCCAAAATGCACCGGTCATATTTGTAAATGCTAACTTGGCTTGTATAGAGAAAAAGTCGAGGAGAGCTTTACAGCCTCTCTCTCCCTTTGCACGATGAGGTTTTTTGAGTCGCCAAGCGGTGGACAGACCAGTCACAGACCTTGGTTAGCGCCATCTAGGCGCGGGCGGCGACCGGGATAGTTGCAGCGGCTAGGGGAACAGCCCGTCCTGATGCCCTGAGACCCTGGGTGGTTTTGTGTGTTTTGGCGGCGGCTCGATGACGCCGGGAACAAAAGGCGATGAAACCAACCGCTGACATGAGCCACTGCAGATATGTAGTTTATTTCGTCCGTGTCACAGACGCCGGGGCACCCCAGGCAAAGACTGGCCAGAATCGAATCGAATTTGTACTACTCGGTAGCGAGCAGGTATCGAACCCTGGTCCCAGAAGGAGTCGAGTCGGTCGAGTGCAGACCAGTCAGAGAGTGGGCTTTTTGCTGTGTCAAGACAATAACACTGGCTCGGATAGTTGATGGTGCCGATTGGGCGTGGCCAAGGTCTGTCGCGTTTGAAGCAGAAGTTAGTATTATGAGGAGCTCGGTATTACGGAGTATGTGTCAAATCAACGAAAGGACAGAGCTAGGGAACTTTGTTGATGTGGGCAAACGGCGGATGACGTCTCATGCAGGCAGGAAGAGAGGGTTGGTAATGGCATTGTTTCCCTGCGCCGCCACCGAGCTGCAGAAAGATGTCCATGACTGCGCATGTGTGGATTGACGTCTCGACGACTCGACGTCTCGACGTCCCACGTCCCACGTCCCAGTTCCTCATACGGGCCTACGGTACTCCGTATACCCAGCCAGCAATTTGAACAGTCCGCGGCGCACCTGCCGCGTGGTTTGTGGCGATGCCCTCCAGCACGAGACCACTAGTCCAACATTGAAGTTGCCAAGTCTCCAGGTCTCCACAGCGTCGACGGGGCTCTAGGTCTCAATACGACTCCGTTACGATACGGAGTAGGCATCCCACGAACTTGGGTTCATCCGTGCATGTGCCCTTTTGCCCCTTCTCCACTTGTCGTCGCCCAGCCAAGCACCCAGGCCCTCGACCTGGGGACGGGACCTGGACGGGGCCTTTGCTGAAGCAACAACAGTGCAGCGTGGCAGCGTCGTCGCGGCCAATCACTCTAATTCGACTGCCACTGCCACTGCCACCCTCGGCGATGCCACGGGCACACACATGGGTCTAGTCTGGTCCGCTCCCGGTCGATTGATGCCAAATCAGTGGTCCTATCCGCCCCAACCGGCCGCCGAACCACGCAGCCAGTCCACTCATTGACTCTATCTAAAGTTCCCTGCCTTCTCAGATCACACACTCTCAGCCATCCAGCAATCTCATTCGAGTCTTTTGTCCCTTTGTCGCCCAACTCGTCGTCTCTTTTTTTTTTGCCATCCGCCAGAGACCCCTCGTTGTCACGCCGAGCCGACTAGCCTCACATTCGTTGTAGCCGAGTCCATCTGTGTATACAGCAACACACAACCATCCGATTAGGGTCAAACCACAGCAGTGTCACTCAATCCCTTGGAATCCCGCCGCGGCGTCTGCATTGCTGATAGACGTCTTCTCGGACTTGCATTCCCTCGTTGCCAGAACCTCAGAGACCCGTACATTATCGTCGATGAGTTGCATGCGGTAAATTCTGCGCCATCCGCTCCTACTCCGAGCGACCTTTCCTCCCGTTCCGCCGTCTTCTGGCGCAGCCTACCATGGTTTCGCTGAAATCTCTCGTGGCTGCTGTCGCAAGCGTAGCCTTGCTGGCTCATTCATCGCTGGGTAAGCAACCGTCTTTTGCTTCTGTGCCGAGGGCTTGTTTGATGGTCGTGGCTCTTGTCCGCAGAGCGAGCCACATTACTAACCTGTCATTCAACATGCAGCACACTCTGTAAAGCGAAATCCCGTCAGCCGCATTTCATTAGTCCAGGAACCCGTCATCCAGGCGCCTTCACACCGCGTACATGCATTTTCTAAATTCGATCTCACCTTTTCATTACAACATGGCCAACAGAATATTCGCCTGGCCCTCGAACCCAATCACGATGTCCTCCACGAGGACTTCTCTATCACACATCTAAACGAAGACGGATCAGTCCGGGAAATAGTAAAAGTACCCCGTTCGGAGGACAAGGTGTACCGCGGAGACGCTTTCATCGAGCGCCCCGGCATTCAAGGATGGTCCAAGGCTGGCTGGGCACGAGTTACGGTTCACGAGGATGGAGAAAAGCCCATCTTCCAGGGCGCCTTTCGCATTGACGGCGACAATCACCACATTGTCCCGCGGTCTGACTACCAATCAATGAAGGACGAGGGGGATCCTGCTGTTGACTCCGCCGACGACGACGTAATGGTTGTGTGGCGCGACTCCGATGTCGTGGACTACTATGACGGACATGGCGAACTGAAGCGCGATCTTGCCGATTCATCCAAATGCAACGCTGACACCCTCGAGTTCAACCCCAGGTTTTGGCAAGATGTGGACGAAACCGGCAATTCCCTTCAATCTACGAGCCTTCCATCTCTCTTTGGTCGGCAAATTGATAGTGGCGGCGGCGGTACGGGCATGAACTTGCTAAATTCCATTGGAAGTTCGGCTGGCTGTCCAACCACAAAGAAGGTGGCTCTGGTGGGTATTGCTACGGACTGCAACTACTTTTCGGCATTCAACGACACAAAGGTCATCAAGAGACGGATCATTGGGGTCGTAAACTCAGCCTCTGAGGTTTACGAGAGCACCTTCAAGATCTCACTGGCTATCAAGAACCTGACCATCTTCGACCGAGGATGCACCGGCACTACGCCCGCCAACACGCAGTGGAACGTTAAATGCAGTGACGGTGTAAGTATTAACGATCGCTTAAACACGTTTTCCAAGTGGCGCGGCGAATCCAAAGATGAGAATGCCTACTGGACCCTCTTCACAACCTGTGCCACGGACACAGCCGTTGGCCTGGCCTGGCGAGGCATGCTTTGCCGGGCCGGCGCCAGCGATCAGGGAAGCAGCGCTCAGAACGAGACGGTTGCGGCCACCAATGTCGTTGTCAAGTCCGAAACCGAGTGGCAGATTTTTGCCCATGAAACTGGACATACCTTTGGAGCTGTTCACGACTGTACATCGCAGACGTGTCCAATCAAGGGCCCCACACAAGATTGCTGTCAGCTGAGCAGAGAACAGTGCGATGCTGGTGGCAAATACATCATGAATCCTTCTACCGGCAGCGGGATAACGTCCTTCTCACCCTGCAGCATCGGCAACATTTGCTCAGGCCTCAAATCCAACCAGATCAAGGGCAACTGCCTAACGGACAACAAGAATGTCCAAACCGACGTGGACATTGGCAGCCAATGTGGGAACGGCATCGTGGAGGCCGGCGAGGACTGCGACTGCGGCGGCGAGGCAGGCTGCAATGGAAACAAGTGCTGCGATCACAAAACGTGCAAGTTCACCAGCGGCTCCGTCTGTGATGCCTCCAACGAAGACTGCTGCACGGATCAATGCCAGTTTGCATCGAGCGGCACAGTCTGCCGCCCCAGCACCGGCGAATGCGACGTTCTGGAAACCTGTCCCGGCGACAAGGCCGCCTGCCCGGTCGACAAGCACAAGAATAACGGCGACTCGTGTGGCAATGGGCTCGAATGCGCGTCGGGGCAGTGTACTTCGCGCGACCTGCAGTGCCAGCACATGGCCAACAGCTTGACGGGCCGAAACAACACCAAGGCTTGTCCTGAGACGGAGTGCATGCTCGCCTGTACGTCGCCCGACCTCCCCTCCAACCAGTGCGTCACATACAACCAGTTCTTCGTGGACGGGACCAGCTGCGGCGCCGGCGGCCACTGCTCCAGCGGCAAGTGCGACGGCAGTTCGACGATCAAGGAAATCGGACAATGGATCGATAACCACAAGGCAATTTTCATCCCCATCGTGTCGGTCGTCGGACTCCTTATCATCATTGCCATCATTAGCTGCATCACGGGCAGCATCCGACGCCGCATGCACAAGAGGAGGGTGAGGAAGCAGGCGGTGCCCGGCATGAACGGCAGCAGCTGGCCGCCTTCATCGTTCAGCGGACAGCAGCAATGGGGCGGTCCGAGGCCGTGGAACGGACCACGACAGACCGAGTCGTCTGGCGCTCTGTTTCCCCCCGAGCAGCAGCATCAACAGCAGCAGAGTGGGTTTTACGATCCGCCGCCATATCCTCCTCCGCCGGCGGCAAATGCAGACGGGAGGTGGGGGAACCAGCGGAGCCTGCGGTACATGTAGCGAGGTCAGAGTTGGAGAGTTGGAGAGTTGGAGATGGTATATATATATATTTCATGCATTACTTGGCGTTTTGGATAGGCATAGGACGGCACGCACGCACACACCTACACTACACTACACACACGTATATAAATAAATGGTTTCTTTTCTTACACTCACCACAAAGGCATCCAGACACGTAGACGCGGCCAGCACTTGAATCACCCACCAGTCCACACTTCCGCACAGCCCAGCTGTCATCTCCTCCTCTCCCGTTCCCTCTCCTTGTCGCGATCCCTCTCCCTCTCCCTCTCCCTCCCCGCCACCTCCTTACCCTTCCGCCGCTCCTCAAACCCGCACAGCATCGCCGTAAACCGCAACCTCTGCCCGGGCACGCTCTGAGCACCGTCAGCCAAGCACTCCCGTGATGTGCTCGCCTGAAAACAAAAAAGGGGGGGCACCTACATCGCCCGCACTCAGGGCATACATCATCAGCGACTCGGGGCTGTCCAGCACGCTCAGCGCAAAGCCCCGCCGCTCCTTGTCCTCGAACGGCTCCGTCTTGACCCTGCGGCCGTCAGCGATTTCCCCTGCTTTCCTCTCCTTTGCCTCCCTCGTCGGAAAACGCGAACGCACCCTCTGCCCAGGCGCACCCGTCTCTCCGGCCCGTCGTCGCAGTCGCTCTCGCTGTCCTTGTAGGGGTCCTTGCCGCGCGCTTGGCGGTCGCGCATCTCGGGGGTGCATTCTGCTCCTGCTGCTGCTGCTGTGCGAGACGCAGATCCCGTCGGGTTGTGGTACGTGCTTCGCGAGGGAGTGGTTGTCGACATGGTTCAGGGTATCAATGGGATTGGATGATGATGATGGGGAGGAAAACCCGGGCGACAAGTTCGGGGCGCTGATTATACAGCCGTTCTTAGGTGTGGGTCGGCTGTGTGGAAATATTCAGCGTCTATGAGTAAGGGGGGATGAGAATCGGGTTCGTATTGAAAGCGAGGTTGAGGATGCAATGAGGACCCTCGAGTCCAAGTCGGTCAAGTGTAGTTTGGCATGTTGGTCTGAGGATACAAAAGTGGCGGACCAATCTGATACATGTATGGATGCCCCGCCACCGCCGGCCCGTCACTCCATTCTTCGTGCATTGCAATCTCTGTTCGACACAACAGGCACATCAAAGCCGCACATACGAACGCAATGTGATATCCAATTCTCGCCAATCACCCATGGTATAATACACTCCTCGGTCGCTTCCTGCGCCGTGGCTAGCAAACAAGAGGGAAAAAAAGAAAAGAACCACCACATACTGCACGTGTCAAAACGTGGAAGGTAAATGCACGCCATCCTCCCATCGAGTGAATGCTGCCAGATCCGCCTACGCCCCGGGTCTTGTCAATGTTCCAAAACAAAGAAGCCGACACACGCATACGCCGTCCTCTATTCCATCGTTTTCATCATCAGATATACTCGATGTTTCCCCCCTCCACCCAAAGTTGTTCGTCTTCGTCTTCGTCCTTCAGCCTTGTGTCCCGTTGGAAAGCCAGCAAATCATATACAAAAGGAACTTTGTTCCGCCACTTGTGTTGGCATGTGTAGTTCGCAAAAAGTGCCGGCGCGCCAGCCCAATAAAAAAAGATGTAACAGAAAAAAAATAATGCCAAGACTTCAAGTAAAACATTAAAGGCCAGCTCCCCGTATGCTCGTTTTGGGACGCTTCCGGGTTCCAGTTGTCTTTGTGTCCAGACGCCGTCAATCCCTTTTGGCGTGCCATTGCTCGTGTCGTGATCAATATATACTTCGTACAACCCTGCCGCATTATTGCTTGGATATCAGGGCCCCCCACCCTCAGAGCCTGCTCAATGTGTGTCGTCGCATGCAGTTGGTCCCGATTGAAACGAAGCGTAGGCTACCTCCTAAAGTTTATTACGGCAAGCTACACAGCAATGTAAGCATGATGCTCGTGGGCATAGAGTCAATGATACCTTGCGGGAAATACTTACTCTACTGTTCGAACCATACGCCAGCTTTTGTCCGCTGACATCCCAGCACAGGCAGTGCTCATCTTCCTCTTCAGCGTCTGAGCTACCCTTGGGGCTGAGCCATCCTGGATGTGGTGGTCGGTTCCAGCTTGCCCTCGGCATCGTGTGATTATCCACCTTCCATATTAATACTTGCCGCGACGAGGCGCCGGCGATAAAGGCGCCGTCAGGGGTAAAGGCAAGTCGCACGATTGGCAAGTCCATCGTCAGGAAACATTTCGCTTTGCTCTCGGGTTTCCGGGCATTCCATATTAAAATGGCACAATCATCACCGCCAGTAGCAATCAGCCGCTCGTCGTCGGGGACGGCTTGGTTAGGCGGCAAAGGCTGCCATGCCATCGTGGTGATGGCTCCTTGATGAGCTGAAATAGATCGCCGTTGCCCTGACTCATCCCACAGCTATCATCATGTCATTGTCAGCATCCGCATAACCAGGGTTTCCGAGGGGAAGCATCACTCACGTCAAGAATACCCTTGTCACTGGAAGTGGCAGCCAATTTTGAGTGTCGGTCAAAAAGCACCTGGGTAAAGCTATCATCCTCCTTGGTTTCGAATTTCCGTGACTGACTGATTGCTGAATTGGTGAAACGAAGGCATAATAGTAAATCGCCGCCACTCAACAAAAACTCGTCGTCGTCGATCCAGGCTGCGTCCAGCGCTGTTGTTTCTATGTCGTGCCCTGGTAAATGATAGTTCAAAACCTTGCCACTAAATGAGTAAACCGTAATGAGGGCGCCTCCGTTTTCTGGCGAGACGGCGAGCAGGGCAGAGCTGCTTGGGTTCCAGCTGAGCTTTATAATGGGCGGCTCAGCCACGTCCATGGTTTGCATGAGAACACCGTCGGCTGACCATACACTCACTGCAGCCGACGTCTCTAAATCGGTCGCGACCGCAATGGCAGTGCCGTCGGACGTCCATGACAATGCCGTGACGGTGGTTGTGCGCGGCGTAGATGGATCGATGAGAGTGTTGGCCAGGGGAGCCACGTGATCTCTGCCATCCTTGGCCGACTCGGTCGTTGCGTCCGTGGAGCGACATATGGTCCAAACGCGGGCTAGCGCATCGGTTCCAGCAGCCGCCAACATTGATGGGTCGCAAGGGTTCCACTCGCACTGGAGCAACACAGGCGCATTCTCGGCGCCTACTGGAGAGGGCGATGGCGTAGCTGTGGCTTCCGAGGCCTTGAGCAAAGAGCGTTCGTCGTCCATGAGGTGGATAAAAGTGGTGTCCGGCGATAGTTCCTCTACCTTGTCGACCTGCGTGCCCTGCTCGGGTCCGTCGGTGTGGATGATGGGCGGAGGCAGCTGCTCCCCTTCCAACGGCGACGGATAGGCGTGGTTGTTGCTGGCGTCGTGTTGGCCGTCATGAGAGTCGGGTTGAGGGTGAGGGTGATGGTGATGACTGGGATCAAGGTCCATGGGTGTGGTGGCGGAGGTTGAGGTGGTGTTGGTGGTGGTTGTGGAAGTGGTGGCAGCCGTGGCCACGGCTGCGGATGCGGATGCGGATGCGTCAGTGTAGCCATTGCTCAGACGCGGTTTCTTTGCCGGCGAGCCATTCGGTAGCTGGAGCTGTTGTTGGATGCGCTTCCGTGATGATTCCACGTCGCCGCCGACTGCAGCGCCCTCGCCCTCTTCCACCTTGGCCGGCTGCTGCGAGTTCAATGGTCCAAAGACGCCGACCTGCACCGGCTCTGCCTCTGCCTCTGCGTCGGCCCCTACACTGGCGGCATCGCGAGACCGCTGCGGTGAGAATGTCTTGTCAGCCAAAATAAACAAGGTCGGGTCCTGCGTTTGCCTGCTTGCCCGCTTGCTTCGACTGTGCGAGGCAGCCCAAAGCAGACAAGGCTCGCCGAGGGACATGAGGTGCCTGCACGTCCACACCCAAGGCGGCCCAGACAAGAGACAAAAGTAGAAGCCATGCATTCGGGTGAGACGTCGTAGCAGTCCCGACGAAGCAGGCCACGAGCAGACGGGAGAGAAAGGGGAAAGAAAAGTAGAGCAAAGGGACTTACCTTGCTGAGTGCGAATTCACGTTCAAGAGCATAGTAGATCAATCCTCGGTTGACGACCGACACCAGTGCCTGGCTCTTGACATGAGGCGCGAAGGGGAAATCTCGGTGTGGCTCGTTTACGTGCCACTCCTTTTGAAACTTAGCGGCGGTTTCGCGGTAATCTGCAATCATCAACAAATTCAGTTAGACAAGTTTTTCTGGTAGAAAATGCCCAGAGTCTGCGCATGTCGTTGTATTGCAAAGGTGCAAAAAGAGTTGGTGCCACGTACTCCCTTCCAGCAGATACCTGCACAACATATTAAAGTTAGCAAAAAAAAAAGGAACCGGCAAACCACTGGGGAAGGCGCCGGGGGGACGGAGTCTCTCAACGTCAGAGCTGGCATGAGAACAGAACAGCGGCAAAAAAAAAAAAAAAAAAAATGAGAGCGAAGCACGTCGACGAGACGGTTCTCAATGCTGCAGCAAGACGAGTCGAGAGAGTCCGAGAAAGTCGAGGCGCGGTTGGGGACATCCGAGACGAACCTCCAGATCAGAAAGTTGACCCTATCCGAGTCGAGAAATTCCTTGACCACCATGGTTGCCAAGCGCGCGCCGCAACTGGCGGCAAAGTGACGGGTGGCCGGATAGTCCTCCTAGAGGCAGAATACAGTCGTCGAGTGCAGGCTCAGTCGTTGTAGATGTGAAGAATGTCGTCGAGCAGCCGCCGGGGCAAGGGCGACACACGGGAAGTCGTTGACGGGGCAGATGAAGCAAAAGTGAGAGTCAAAGTGAGGGAGTGAGTGAGTGAAGATTTGAGAGCGAGATGAAATCCACATCTCTGGTGCTGGCGCCGGGCCAGGTTGAGTGGCTCTGGGGCGAGGTACCGGCAGCGGTAATGGAGAGAGCACCAAGTGTCGAGGTACCCAGGTACCCTGCTCGGGTCCTCAATTGTGGTGTCTGGTCCGTTTGCCTGGCTTTGTTCATGTACCCAGGTACGGAGTACTTTCAATGTTGCCTGTCCTGGGCAGGCTTCCACTTTCAGCACCTTCAACCCCAACTGGTCGCAGACACCAGACAGCAACGCAGAGCAACGGACCAATAGTAGTAACAACGGAGTATGGACTATGGAGTATTGGGTACGTACCTCGACGTCCCTCCAGATGTCCGCCCACCTGCAACCTCAAGCTGGCAACCAGACATGTTTGCCGAGCCCGCACCCGCCAGCCAAGCGAAAGTGTGTTGCTTTGTCTGCATCACATCTGCGTCAACTACTAGTACAAAGCAGTTACTGCCTTCTTCAATGCCCCTCGAGTCCCTGGCCTCTTGACCGGCGCTCAACTGTTGCTTGCGGGCCCCCTACTGGCTTACCAGCCCAGCCGGCAAGGCAAGGCAGGGCAAGGCAAGGCAAGGCGAGACTGGCACACGCTGACAAACTTGGCGCCCACTAGGCTTACAGAACCATTGAGCCAATGTCCGACCTGGAGCCTGTCTGTCTTGTCACTCCCGCCTGGATGCGCAAGGGTGTGTGTGCGTGTGTGTGTTCGTGCATGTGGGTAAACATGGGTTAATGGATAGAGCATTGCCATGGGGGGGTGGGGGGCGTGTTCTCAAAGTCTCACAGATTCAGAAGCTTAAATGTGGGTTTTGCTCTCTGGCTTGATATTCGTATCGTCGTCGTCTTTGCGCATCTGTCCTCTGACCTCTTGTCCTCTTTGCCTGCAGCTTGCACCAGACTCAGCATTGGGCCCTGCTGCCCCCTTCGCCCATTCAATCTTGTCACGCGGAAGCAACACCGCTCTGGTCGCTAGCCGTTGACAATGAAGACATTTTCGATTAAGACACCGCCCTGCCCAGGATCCAGGAGCATTCGCCTTTTCCCTGGCCGCTTCGTTTCGTATCAGGCATCGTCACAGTCCCGTCTGCGTACGGAGTACTAGTACTCCTCAACATCTTCTCACATTGGGGACAAAGATTGTTTCTACAGCAAATGTGAAAAGGCCCTTCGCCTAAAACCGTCCCTGCATTCCCCTTCTTTCTAGACGGGGATTCCGTGTGACAAGGGCACACAGGGCGGGTGGGTCCCATTCGACCTGGTCCTCAAAATGATGGGATACGCCGTGCCTACAACTGAGGGCCCAAGACCATCGTCAACCGTGGGAGCGAAACGTGAGGCTTCTGATGTTTCCCAGCATGTTGGACCGTTCGCATAGGTGTCGGCTTCCTCATTGCTCGTGGTTGTACGTACACTGACCTGTTCCTGTGGGACAAATGTGTGCATGACAGGGTGGCTCGTTGCAAACGCAACCACCAAACGCGGATCTTGTGCGGATGCGCTGCCGCCAGCCATCGTCACTCGTGGCCTTGCCCGCTTCAGTATTACGGAGTAATCAGAAACAAGCCTGCCTGCATAGGGCCTGGGGCTGAAGGGTGACGGGCCCTCGATTGATGTGAAGTGGAAAACCCCCGTTCCAGGGTCTCTTGGTCTCCCGTTGCGAGTGGCGCCAGATGCAGCAATCAGAACCAGATGCTGGGTCGGCCCAACATGCAGCCAACGGTATTACTAGCGAACCAGCCGCCCAGCATTGGCCGATGAAAGGCTGATCAATTTGCGTCAACATCATGGCCACAGGGGAACCAGAGTCCAGTCATGCACACCCGGGCTGCGCGAGCGTTTGGACGTTGATTTTAAGGAGCGTCCATCATTGATAACTACTACCTAGGTAAGCAGCCGTTGCTTTTGACCAAGCTTGCAACGCCCGCCTCGTCAGTTTGCTGCTCCTTCGTGACAGGTGGCGTCGTCAAAGGTTATTGCCCTAGGACAAGCGATTCTCCCACGTTGTTGGTCATGAGCCAAGGCCACAGTGGTGGATGGCGGCAAAGGACCTGGGACGCAGAGGCCTGCCTAACCGCAAATAATCTTGCGACCAGACCACGGGAGACCTAGATTGCCACCCGGCATTCATCCCATCATTGAGACATAATGGCTAACCTCGGGGAACGGGGGCTGGCGGCATCCTTGCACAGTCGTCGTCATGGAGCAGCCGTTCTTCCGCCTCGGTAAGGTCTAGTCGCTGGTCAACCTTAGCAATTTCTATATTTATTCGAGCTCTGATATCAAGGCGGTTCATTTGAGACGCGTCTACGATGCGCTTCGGGCACGACGATGAGGATTAGGGCGTTGGCTGAACCACCTCTCACCCTCGCTCGCATGCTCGTGCTGGTGGTGCTCGTGCTCAAAACTTTTGTTGGAGGGCGGGCCCATGTTCCTCTGGAATCTGAGACTGCGCAGATCGCCTGGTACATGAATGTGGGTGTTGCCAAAAGGGCAAAGGGCAATCAATGCAGCTTTGGCCAATGGCGGGACCGAGAACTTGCTCCATCGTGCCTGCCTTGCATGGGGTACGGAGTCTTAACCGTAACTTTCTACAAACCAAAGTGTATCGCCCAGATGACGGTGTGCACCCGCCGTCGCAGTCCACAATGTCTTTCCGACAGTCAGGGGCAATTCGAGAAACGGCTTCGCAGCAATGTAACACCGTTCTAATAGTACATATTATTCAGTGTCAGTAGCGGCTCTTCAGGCGCAGCTTCTTTAGGAATGCACACCAACCATGGTCAGTCTTCGCTCCACATGGCTCTCCATGAAACCTTGCATACAGATCATTCCTGCCCAGACCGTTCGCTCAAGATTGGATGCGAGTTGCGTAACACCTAACAGGGGTTGCAAGGGCATGACAGATACGTGCGGAAACATCGGCGCGTGAGTGAGAAGAACTGTTGTACATAAATTCTCTTTCCTAAAGAGGGCCACCCTCCCGGACAGATGGGGCTGAACGACGTCAACTTTTAAAACTGGGCATCTCTTGATAATTAACATCGCCTTACTCCGCGGAGGTGCGTTCAACGAAAGACGGGGTTTGATGATGCGAACCACTGCACCTCGTCGACCCTTGCCCGCGAAGACAAGCTTCTCGATGGGAGACTCGAGGCTGGCTGGAAATTGAACACATCCGCACCCAGGCCTCATCTTGAACCGCAGCAGAAACGGACGTTTCCGCTCCCCACTCCACCGTATCTATCTATTTTAAGCACGCAGCATCATGCTCTACATGTCGCGGCGTGCACGTCGACGCAACCAGGCATAGTGCAAGATCCGGTCCACAAGGCAAGTTCAAATATGCCAGAGGCTTGTTTGAGGCAAATCCATTCACCATCACCCTCATTCTTCTTGCAAATGATAACATAAGCCCAGCTTCAAACAAGACTGCAATATTCTGGGCAGTTACACCATCCTAGAACACAGATGCGAACGATTCACGGGGCAGTGTATACACTTTTCGATTTCATAGGCTCACTGTATGCCCCCCAGTGCCACAGTTCTTGAACGCAAGCCTTCAGAAGCTGCTGATACTGTCCTGAAAACAGAGGTCGACGACGGCAGGTCCTGCAGATAAATGCTCCCACTCGCTGTATTCACATCTTCAGGTTCGGCATTTTCAGATTCTCCTGGTGAGCCATGCTGGGAAAGCCACTTCTTTCGTGCCCATGGAAGAAAATTATAGTAGCCTCCACACGCAAAGACCCCGAGCCACAATGCAAGTTCTGTTCCATATATCACCATGCCCAAAACGTCCAGCTTGGGCTGGAAGAAGACGGATATCAATGAGAACAAATCTCCGGCGGCGTCGATTCCGACAAACATAAACGATATCCCTCGGACAGTGCGGTGAACCCAGATGTCCCAGTAATGGCTCAGCACACCTGCACCAAGGAGACTGGCGGATAGCACAGCCATGACCGTCATTGGCCAGTCAACACCTTGGTGTCTGAGAACTCCAAGGCCAACTATTAGGGCAGCTTGACAGCCGCCCATGATGACCACAATCGGCGCCAGGGTAAGCATTGATCGTGAAACAGTCCATCCCTAGCCAGAGTCAGCCTTTTTCGTCTCATCATTGACAGTGTGTGCGTTTCGAGACATGTACCCTCTGGTAGTAGTAGCATTGGATCCATGTTACCAAGCTAAGAAACGTGAGAATTTGAGGCTGTATACGCAGTGCAATGTTGAACTCCTCAACAATGTTGTATACTCCAAGAGGGACTCCCGCCCAGGCCCACAACATCATCATCGATGACTGAAGACCAGTCGCATTGTGTCGTCGGTAATTGACCACGATTTGGGGTATAAGCTACGGCTGGTCTCAGCCTTAACCGGATGAGACGGATACGACCATGGAACGCACCTGAATAGACCAACAAACCTGCATAAGGCGCTGTTAACGGTGACTCCTGCGCCACAATTTGACCATATTCACGAGGAATACTTACAGCTCCAAGTGTGCCAAGCACGTTGGCCGCAACAGGAACGTCCATCTCTTAGCTAATGGACAGGCGATCAATGGAATATGGTGACATTGTATTTACAATGAGAGGTCCTCATTAAATACTGCGACGGTGATGGCGGCATGATCCGGTACGAATTTGATAGCAACGCAACATGATGTCGTGACTCGTGAGTGGATCTCAGATTTCCGAGCCTTTCCAAGACCCAGCCACACCCACCGAAATACGGGCTTGGTGTATTCAAAGAGTAGAAAGGGGGGAGAAAAAGGAAAAAACACAGCAATATAAGCAAATAATCTCATCGGGTAGTATTGCAAACATGTATCACGAATATCGACCTTGTTTCTCGTCGTGGTCGACTCAAGCAGCCACGATTTCGTTTCAGCCTGAGGCCAGAACGCGCCACCAGCCACATCACTCCCAACACAATAAGGCACGTGTCATCCTCCGCAAGCCTCTTGCGGCATTGCATCCAACACCACGAGAGCTCAAGAAATCTGGTTCCCAACCAGCTCAGCCAGGCAACAATCCCCAACTTTGCTCCCAGCCAGCACCCAGCTCAGAGCACCCTCCCGCGACGACCACACCTCTCAAACGCAGTACCTCCTTCTCATGAATATATAAAAAGGACAAGGGACCTCCTCCCATCCCGCCTCTAAACTCCCTCCTCCTTCACGCCCGCCATGCCGCCGAGATTAAACATCCCGCCCGTCACCCGCACCGTCCTGATAGTTCTGCTGTCGCAGTCCTTCCTCAGCGCAGCAATCCGATACCGACAATGGACTGAAAACTCCCACATCGTCATTCCCTACCTGACGCTCGTGCCGCAGCTGTCGCTCGTGTTCCCCTGGACGTTTCTGTCGTCGGCGCTGGTGGAAAGTAACGTCTTCACCTTGGCCATCTCCGCGTTGACATTGTACCATGGAGGACGGTACTTGGAACGGGCTTGGTCCTCGGCGGATTTGGCCAAGTTCTTGGCCTTGGTGACTCTTGTGCCTAACGTTTTGACTTTTTTTATCATGGTGTTCTTTTTTACTCTTACTCGCAATGAGAGCTGGACGTATGTGCAGTCCCCCCCCTTTCTCCCCCGCCCCAATTCCTTTGAGTTTTCTTTTACAGGCGGTTGCTGAAATTGACATCCATGTGTATGTAGTCTGACAACCATTTCTGGCGGCATTTCTATCCAAATCGCCTTCCTCGTCGCATTCAGCCAGCTCATCCCTGCGCACACCGTCACCCTCTTCCGCGGCATCGTATCGCTCAAAGTGCCCCGTTTCCCGCTCCTCTACATCGGCGTCGTGACGGTGCTATCCCTTACGCCTCTGCTCTCGAGAGCAGCCCTGTGGCAGGCCACCTTTGGCTTCCTCGCAAGCTGGACATACCTCCGGTTCTACAAAAAGGTATTTCCCGACCTGGAATCGTCGCAGCCGGCGTCTCTACGCGGCGATGCCAGTGAAACATTTGCGTTTGCCGAGTTCTTCCCGGGGCCTGTCAAACCCTTTGTCGCCGCCGTGTCGGACCAGGTTTTCGATATCCTCGTCGCCATGCGCGTCTGCACGCCCTTGTCACACGCAGACATGTCCGCGCGAGGCGATCGCGCCCTGCAGAGAGGCGCCCCGGGCACGGCACGCGCCGAGGCCGAGCGCAGAAGAGCCATTGCGCTCAAGGCTCTTGACCAGAGACTCAACGCGGCCGCTACACGGGCTCCTGCTCCCACACAGCCTTCGGGCCCACCGATTCAGACACAACCACAGCCTAATGCTCATACAGCCATGGCATCTCAGCCTGGTGCAGTGCTGGGGGAAACAAAATTCGAGCCAGAGCACGACGATGCAACGGCCAGCAAAAACTAGGTGGGGGTCTCACTAGGCACAGAATGTCTGTCGCGGTGTAGGATATGTATGGTGTTGTAAGAGTGGATGGTTAATTTTATGGTGTTGGACGGAGATGCCACCGTCTTCGCAGGACGGAGTTAGGATGCTTGGGATGTCTTTGCTCTTTCATTGTGTTGTTGTTCTAGGGGATTCGTCTGTCTTGCGGCTCTTAATGCATAGCAATAAAGCGATATTGGTGCATCTCATCTGACGTATGGTGGCTGTTTGGTTGAGAGTGCAGCTGGCCATGGCCTCTTATCTTGCCAATTTGGGCAATTTCGAGTCGTGCCCGCATCCAATCGTAGGATCGAGGTGCTCTGCTCCTCGTTGGCCCGCATAGCAGCATGTCGATGGATATTACTAAACGACCCCGGGTCTGCGTAACAGTCTAACGATCTACGATGTTAAAACAAGACACTGCACAGCGGCTCGAGCTCGTCTGCCCCTTGGCATGAGCCTCGAAAATAAACAAAAATGTCCTCGAATGAAGCGGCCTTTTTGCCATCAAAACACCCCGTCACAACGCATGCAGAAACACACCGCTTGTCACGAGGGCGTTGCTATAAAAAGCAGTATTGCTTCAGGGTAGCTGTTCGCACGGCTGAATCCTGGTCTGGCCCAGGTGCCATCTGCGCTCATGTGCATGCGCAGGTGACCTCATTTCGCTAAAACCAGGCGTCGGGAGCTGCGGGTCATTTTTTTTAGGTTGCCGATTGACAGATGGCATTAGGCTCGGCAGGCTGTAGATTGCGGTTTGCGAAAAGGGTACGGAGTACTCCGTAAAGTACTTAGTAGGCGACCGCCGCCACAGTACCAGATGGCTGGGGGGCATTTAGGCCTCTTTGTCTTTTTAACATTTATGGAGGACATTACCCTTTAACGAACCCGAATATATTACGGAGGTGTTAATGCATAGAATTTCGAACACCCTGTCGAACACCAAGCCTTTCTTATGGGTAGAGCTGAGAAGCAGGTATCGTTTTATCGCACCCATGGCAATTTCGTACTGTGGTGTGTTAGGGTATACTTGGGGATGGGTCATCCAAAAATCGTGGGGTTAGAGACGAGACAAGAGGTGAAACTTGACTCTCGCAGTAGCTTTTGCCAGAGTCATGATACTCAAGAATGGTCCCGGAGCAAGCAAGAATATGGATGGAGCCGAGGTGTCTTTAGAGCCAGCGAGTCTGGCCCAAATGATGCGATGACAGGCCCGGCGGTCGAAGAGAAACTGGCATTTGACCGTCGATACCGGAAAGGGCTTACACATGCAACGAAGCAAGTTGTCCAGGCCGTGGCATCCTCTCCCTGTGCGATGACGACCCCAGAACGAGCACATGAATCTCATCCGACGTGCCATGATCGTCGGGCCACGCTGTGTTGGCTGTAACAGCGGCGACAGAGGCGGCGCCTGGGGGGGGGGGGGGGGGGGGGGGGGGGGGGGGGGGGGGGGGACGGACAACGCACCAGTGACTCCCGCAGCTGCGGGATGAACTTTGTGTGTGCCACCCTCCCTCCCCGAGGCGTCATATACATAACTACCGTTTCGTGCGGTATAGGTGGGCTTGGCCCGGCCTGGACCCATCAGCCGACGTGACCTGTAAACAATGATGCTTTGCGCATCAGCAGCGGCGCCGAGGAACAACGCTTGAGCTTGAGATCGCAGACTGGGGTACTTAAGTAGTCAGGAACTGTGACGGTCACGATGACGGAATCACCACCACGATGACCCATTTCCGTTGGCGGGCTGGGCAAGAAGATGTAATTGTGGAACTGGGCATGTCAGCGAGCACTACATTACACACAAGGCGCGCCTCCATTAGGCAACGCTGATGGTGCTACTAGTGTTGTGTTAATGTGGACAAGGAGGATAGAAATACTAATGCTTGGCTAGGACGACTCAGGAGAGGCATCGAATGGGTGGAGCAGCCCTTGTTGGACTAGGGGAGGTTGGAGACAAACCTTGGTCTGCGCTTCCGAAACGCCCATGTACCTAGATACTAGTCTTCGCTCGGTACAGACTATATGTGTAATTGTTACCGAGAATGTACAGGCTATCTTTTGTTGCTTACTTAAGTACCTAGGTAAGTATTCGGTCACCCAGGCCCGTAGTACTACTCTGATACATTCTTGCAATCACGAGCGGCGGGGCCGGAGACTTTGTGGGGACGAGCATGAGCCGGGGGTTGGCCGCAGCCAGGAGGTTCAGATGGATGTGTTGTGGGCGGCGGAATTAGGGAATAGAAAAGTCGAGGTTCTTTTCGTTTTTCGTTCTGGCCGAGCCAGGACAGAAGGACGTGGGGCGGTAGACGATCAAGCACTCTAGGACTCAAGGATCCGAGCAGAGGGAGTGGACTGAGCCCTTTTTGGCTTCTGGCTTCTGGCATTTTGGCTTTTGCATCTGAAGGCGATGCACCGATCACGGGCAGAAAGGGCGTGGACTTTTTTCAATGTTGGAGAGGACGGGGAACAAGGTGTGGGGACAAAGAGGCGTGTGGCGGCACGTCAGCGAGTTCGGCAGGTTTCCTTTGGGGGCCTCGGAGCCGCAGATGGAGGGAAGGAGGCAACATGCTCTGACTCCAGACGCAGCCGCAGTAGCAGTACTCAGTTGTCATGCAGTAGTGATATGGGAGATTGGAGTATAGAGTACAATGCCGCCCCGAGTACGGGACACTTCCATGTTGCCCCCAAACACCCAAACACCCAAACACCCACACAAACACCACCAGACCAGATGCGTACAGAGTACATACACTAACAATAGACGAGTTTTCTGCCGAGAGACAATGTTAGCGCCCACACCATCACGTCCAAAGTTGACAGGCGAGCAACCGTCGATAAGTTGCCCATCGTCTTCCAATTACCACTTGCAACAACGCCGTTCATGGCCTCGTCAGTGCGGAAGTGTGAACGCCCTTCTACGCCGCGCGAAGCTTGCAGCACGAGTTTGGATATTTCTGGTCGTCGACGCCTTCGATGCTGCCCTAGCACACGGCGGGATGCATTTTGCCTCCCCGACCCCTGCTGAGGCTATTAAGACCTCGATCCGACAGAAGCACGGAGCACGATGTAGGGCAACAGTGTTAGCAATTTGAGCATCCGAGCGTTGCATCCAGAGGGGAAAGAGTGTGATGTAACACATCCATGCTCCGTACCCAG